GGTAATTGCCCCCCGTATTAGTAAAGAATTTTTGATTAGATGACAGAACCAATCCACGTACGAATGGCCCAAACTACCCGAGTGCCTCCGGCTGCCGGACCGGCCTCAGCCTATCACAGCCTATCACATCTCACAAAGATGCAAAACCGCCAGCGAGACAGATTATCCACGTGCCTGCTTGCTTTTTATATTGACCCGTTCCTATCCGCGTTCTGATAGGCGTAAACCGACGCATGCTGACAATCGCAGCTACGTCATGACACCTTGGAGATGGAATAAGACGAGGAAGTTCTTGGAAGCGGAAAAGAGACACCCGCGGAGGGTAAGAGAACCATTGGAGATTACGGCAGTATAGGACGTTTCCCTACCGGAATTATCGATATGTTGTAGCCGCGTAATCCGTACCAATTCGGCGTCTCTTCTACCTATATCATCGCAGGTCACCTGTTACACCATGAATCTCACGGTAAAGTGGGAGAAATATAATTGCCTGTGGAGTATATCAGACCCTCCCAAAAGTTTATGACAGGCGGGATAGATATCTCAATTCATAAAGACATTTGGCTTAGAGATGTCACGTCCCTCTTATAAAGCTATAGTTCTGATTACCCTCGTTAGACACTTGAATCCCGGTGGCACGCAGCCGCGTAACGTCACTGCAATCATCTATAATCTCCTCCACTCTTGACCGGATTCACTTCGGACACAGGTCACCAGGAAATTTTGAAGGGAAAAAACATGCCATGTGGTGATCACGGCCGGCGGAGTTGTCTTACGGCCGACATTGTTCTTTCAATCAAGGTAGATTCACCGCTCGTCGGAAGGATCGTGAGGTATGTAGCAGTACTCTCGGCAGGCAAAGTCTTGGAACCGACTGCTAACATGCTGATTATCAGCATGCTGGTGTAACAGTCGGTGAATATGCATATTACAGACGCAGGAAATCTAGGCGCCGTCGAGCTACCGAAGATTCTGAGTCAAGCTGACTGCTGCCTAACGCCCAGCTAGAAAGCAGTAGAGCCTCATATATTCTGGCTACACAGCGAAGCACACCGAACCACTGCTGAAATTCTTTTTCCTTCCATCAAGGTTCTTGTTTCTCGCGATAGCGGAGATAAAATGACGCGAGGATAGGTCTACGAGGGGAGGTCCGGCATGCGAGACTGACTACCTGTGTTCGGGGGGCCTATAGGGCTTGATAGAAGGCTGGTGTGAGGTAGGTACACAACACAACAGTATCCTTCAAACACTATTAATAAGTAGTCGCATATCATGAGGATGTTAAAGAGCTTCTTAGCACGAATTTCCATGTAGAATAAACGATCCCGTAATGAACCGAATGAGCTAACTACTCCAATATTGTAGATATATAAGATAACCAGACCCGGGATATAAGACGAGTCAACTAGAACTAATACAATACCAAGAAGTCTAGATGTTTTAGATGAAGAGACTACATAAGTGATAGGTCTTAACTGCGTAGTTGACCCCCCCAATGTGGCTCTAAAGTCCAATACAACTTGCCAGTTTACTAAAACCCAACACTCTAATAATAATAATAACACAACCTCATAAACAAAGCGCACCTCAGGTATTTTCACTAACATAGCTCCTCTCAAACACAGCTTGGACCCCAGCATCTCTTATCATACTCGACAGAAAGCACCGACGACAAAGCCCGTGAAACGTATACCCTTTACCTAGAGCCCTAAGGGTAAAGCCTATCATATCATTAACTCTTAAAAGCCCTTCCCTTCCTTTATGAAACGGCACTGGATAGCCAACCGAAGAGATATCACCGATCCAACGGAGAAGGAACTGAACTGAACTGAACGCATTTTCTAATACCCAACTACTGTAGAGTTAATTACCTATATACGTGCTGCTAGCGATCTCGGGTTGGGGATAATAAGCACCAAGTAACACTCCTCAGGCACAACTACCCTATTAGGTACCTAATGTAGCTCTTCAGTCGCGCACCGCTACCAGGATGCTAGGCTAGTATCGAGATAGCTACCTACCTAAAGGTAGGTATGTAGCCTTAGGCCAGATTACATATACCACATCGCACTACGACTTAAGCATTTGGGAAGTCGATATTATAAAAGTGTATGCGTCCTCGCTGAATACGTCCATCGTCGACACTCCAGACCGACATGAGACAAGGCCCTCTACCTCTTAAGGTCAGACCGCGGGAGTATCTAAGGTAGCTGTAAGTGGCAATTGCTATTCTATAAGCAACTCGTCGACGGGGAATTATAAGGTACCTATGCAATGGGCATAACCATGTAGGTTAGCCAAGTTAATAGACGACACAAGGGGGACGCGTAAACGAATAACTGAACAGAACAGCACTTTATATTATTAAACCGCTAATTTGTTCAAACTCATGTGGCCTCCTCACTCCCCTGCTTCAAACCCGCCAATCCACGCTTGATATCCAAACCCGACATTACTCAACGCCCAACCCAGACAGACCCTAGCCAGAACAACCCAACTTCCACCAACTGAGAGTAGGTAAGAGGAACATATAATGAAGCCCCCCCTTTAACAACGACCTCTTCCAGTCTACACATATACCACCCGAACCGACTAGTCTCTATCCCGCTGAACCTAAACCAGAACACAATCAACCTCAACCGCACCCCGGCACCGCAGATACATCCCACCCCGGCACCGCAGATACATCCCACACACGTGTCCACCATCCATCCTACTCGAGTAAGTATCAATCCATTCCATCCGGAGAGAAGTCAAGTCCAGGAATCCAGGGATAGTCCACAACAGAGAAGTAGGAGACACACAACGACATCACAGAGCGGAGACGGGAAACAGAAAAAATCCGAAAACACGCCGGGAATTGCAAGGGCAAAGAACTGTCTGTTACTGACTGGCGATAGTGGAAGAAGTCGACATCCCCCAATGGTTGTTCCGGGTTTTGACATTCCAGTAGTCCCCCATCCACGGTATTGGCCTGAGTCACAGATCTCTCCTAGGATACGAACGGACAGCAAGACCGGTATTTTTTTCCTTTCCCCGCAATTGCGCACAAGACAAATTTGCAAGAAAAGCCAGGTATATTTGTTTGTTGGTTGAATAGCTCCGCTCCAGTCCGGGATGTGATCCTCTCCGTAGGATAGATATATATATATATTTTCCCTTGGTTTGCAAGAAATCCTTGAGATGCATGCCTATCTCCGGATAGACCATCTAACGATGTTCTCTTCCTTGAAGGCTTTGGCTCCCCTGAAAGGCAAGTACTGGTCGGCTAGGCCTGTACTGTCATGACCAGGCTTTGGGTTGTTTGCTTTGCTGGAGTCCTGTCCGGGAAATGTTTGCTCCCCTTTTCTCCACGGTAATCCTCAGCGGATTGTGGGATTGGAACCATGGCCTGCGGGGATCAGCGGGATCGAGCAGTCTCGTACTTACCCAATGTATTGCCAGTGGCAGATATCAGAACACATTCCTTCAATTGGTCATGGTTGATGAGATCATGTCACAGGCCACGAACAAGACTTGGGTAGGTAGTAGTCCTCACGTGGTGTAGCTTAGGGAATGAGATCTTACCTCCGCGTCAAGCTGATTTGTTTCAGCGACATATTTTTTGCACTGTAGCCTTGCTCAGGCTAGTGATCCATGGCAGGCTTGCCAATTTGTCCATGTCCTGGTCTGAGTCCCCAAGATATCCGGATGGTGCTGTGTCCAGTGGAAGTGCAGTCCATGTGGTCATTGTTGAAGCCATGGTCAATCAGTCCGGTGTTCCAGTCTGCATCCTCTATGGTGTCCTCCGGGAATGATCCTTGGAGGTGATAAGCCCAAATGCTTTCCTAGTAAACCTATCAAGTTAGTAGTACATGCACGGCGAGGTAGAAGAAAGTCCATGAAGGTATGCCAGGCATGAAAGTATTGAAATCTTGGAAGATATCCTTCGCAGGAGTGGTTGGCACATATATATACAATCCGTCCAGTGCTCACCTTGCTGTCCGGATCTCAACCCTATCTATTAGTAAAGTAAAAAAAATCATTCCCGCATCTCACCATAATGCAACAACATGCGCGAAAACTTTGGCCATTTGGGAATTCGCAAACCCGGGAAAAGTATGAAATATAAAGTAAGCCTCCTTCGGCTGGATCCGGACAGCAAGTTGGCAGGAGCCGATCCGTAGATAGTAGAAATACTAACCGAGATATAAAAGAGAACTTCTTTTCCCGCCGGCCAAGAGCCTGGTATAAAATGTGTGTGGCAAGAAGCCAACTCCGTACAAAGGCATAGCAGAAACAATGGTCGTCGTCATTTCAAGTCAATTGAGGCCCACCCATATGCAAATCGTTAACAACGAAGCTCTCCGTTCATAAGTACGCCGTATCCATTCTGGGTCCCTAGGAAGTATTCATGTGCGGGATTGTAATCGTAGTAAAAAGCCGCCCCTTAAACGTAGTAACGTAGATAATAGTAGTAGTGGTAGTAGTAGTAGATGCTGATTGGAATCCAGGTCTCTCAGGGGGGGAGTTGAGGGTCCGGGTAGCAACACATTATTTCATAAGTCGCAAACTTTGCAACTATGCAAGACTCTTTCTTCAAGGTCTGCAAAATTCATAACCCGGTCTATCCTGTTTTGCATGGCAAAAATCCGGAAAAAAGACCACGATGCGGTTTGTTGGACTCCAAATCCTGGGAATCTCGGGCAATGAAACAATTAATCATGGAAGCCATCACTGGCAAGACGGTATGTCACGCCGAACACACACTCCAGCGGGTTTAATTTCGACCTGGGCGGTGAGACCGGTGAGCGTGCCTGGAATCGGAATGGCGGTCAACACTATCCCTTTCACGATGTCGCGACGACGATCCACTACCAGTAAGTTGTGTACTGGATGCTGTGGCTGAGTTGCGAGAGGGAGCAGGGGTTGACTCATACTGTTGATCTTGTTGTGCTGGATTGTAGGACGTGCCTGCTGGAGACGCTAAACAATCAGAAACTGGAATAGGGAGGGTTAAATCAGAAACCACTAGTGTACGCACCGCGTCCGAGAAAAGGGTCTTGAGGCTGCGCAGTTGGGTAGGGCGGGTTTGAGGGCGAAGGGTTCGAAGGGTAATAACCGCCGCCAGACGTTGGAGCCGGGTAACCTTGCGGCACGGGCGGTCCTGAGGTTGCGTAAGTAGTCCTACTAGGTGGTATCGTGGTAATAGGAGTCCTCTGATCCCTGGGATCTACCCTTGAGCCGGCATACGGATCATTATACGGGTTTGGCGCTACTCGCGAGTCTGCTCCAACCAGCTGGAAAGGAGGTTCCTGGCCGGCCTGGCCAAATCCTCCTTGCGAGGGCATCGGAGGATAAGTCACACTTGCAGACGGGGGCTGGAATTGCGATCCCTGGGTAGTATATCCTTGCTGGGTGCTATACCCACCCTGAGGATATTGCTGGGCCGTGTAGGAGCCAGCGGCTCCCGTGTAACCTGCGGAACCGGTTCCTGGGTATCTAGGCGTGGCATCACCATACGGGTCGCGGTTCGGGGTTCCCGCTGCAAATCCGGCTTCAGTCGGTCCGTAGTATTGGCGGGACTGATGCGTGTCCGAATTGCGGTACTGGACTATAGGGGAGTTAGAGAGTCTGACATAAGAGCCGTTCGAATCTCTCGAGGCAATAGTACCTCCGGCGGCGTTATTACGGCTCGCCGATTGCTGCCGCCTTTCTTGATCCCATCGCGCGGAATCTGCCTTCAGGTCTTCGATCATAGCCTACGGCGGAATTCTTGTTAACAAATTGAACAAATTGGAACGTCCATGTCGCCTATGCGAGAGGTGCTTACTGTGGTTAAGTTGCGGTAGGCGTTTATGTAGTAGCCCTGAATGATCTGACCGCTCTGAGGATTCTGCAACGCACGCAACGTTAGCGTCAAGTTTGGAAAAAAGAAGCAGATCGAAGTGATCATTACCTCGTATGTGCCGGGCCGAACGAGAGCGTCGTTTCCAAGGTAGCGACAAATGTCGGCCGTGATAACTTCACGGTCGATACCATCTCTTGGTACGAAGTACTCATTCTGGCGGTTTTGAGGGGGTAAGGCATTGCTGCCGGACGGTGCTGGTCTTCTAGACATGGTTGTCGGAAATGATGATGGGAGGAATTACCGGTCGACGAAGATTAGGTAGAAGAGGTAAAAAGGGGAAGAATGAGTCGACGGTAGAAGACAACAAACGTAGAGGAGGAATAGGGAATAGGGAATAGGGAATAGTAAAAAGAACAAGCGGTCGAGAAGAATGGTGAGAAGGAAGAGAAGTGGGTGGTGGGGAGGAGAAAAGGCGGCCAGACGCTTTCGCTGGTGGGTATCGAATATGGACCCGCGGCACAAAAAAAAGTCCTAGTCCCTACTGCGAAAGGAGGGGCCTATTAGGGGAAAGTGACAAGGCACAATGGCGACACCAACTTGGCCTGAACAGGGATGGTGGCGCGGGCGTGCAGTCCAATCCTTAACGGGTGGCGATGGTGACCTACAGGGCTTTGCAGGGTCACAAACAGCTTGAAGATTTGCGTCTTTGCGTCTTTGCGTCGCGTAGGAATAATACGGTACTCTTGGCGATGGAACAATACCAATACTGTAGCACTGGAAGAAACTAGTTCGCGACTTGTTGGGAACAGTGACAGTAACAGTAACTGTTAGAACGTCAAGGAATAGGAGGAATAGGGAGAGAGAGATAAGCTAGTTATTAGGAGGGTAGCGAATTGGTTGTCAGCTGAGAGGACAAGATGTCTTTCTCCGGACAGGCGACAAGACCAATGAGCTGTCTGTTTTGCGCGCGGACACAGTGGAGCGGTGTCACTGTACAAGAACGGGGCGCGTGGGAGGTAATGGTTGGCGGAGACGATGCCTTATGTCTCCAGTGTATGCCTTGTATGCCTTATATGTCTTATATGAGAGAAAGTATAAGAGTAGATGATAATTAAAATAAAAAAGGTAATAATAAGTAATAATAAGTAATATAAAGACGATATCGAATAGTATCACAGTAAGAGAGGTACGTAGTATGTATCGCAGTGAGCTTACAGACCTCTGGCGTTCGAGATGTAGTCTAGTAGATGAGTTTGACAAGACTCATCCGGTCTGAAGGGGTAGAATCGATCCCCCGGCGGGTGAGTTGACGCGCAGCGACGGGTCCAACAAGCTGGGAATGATATGTTCGTTGCAGCAGAGGAGGGTCTTTGAACATGGGAAAAGAACAGTCGCTAGGTAGTTATCCCCAATCCAAAATCCAAAATCTCAATCGAATTCTAGACTAGGTATCCAGGGTAGGTAGTCCCGAACAAGTGTGGCTGATAGACTGATAGACTGATAGACAGGATGGATGGATGGATGGGATTGACAGGCCAACCTTTCTAAGCTAGGATTTCCGGATGTGGGAGGGATGGATGGCCGGTGCCCGTATGTCTGGTATGTCTCGCATCTAGGAGGCAACAAACACCCGCACCGCTTCTTTCGATGCAACTCTCGGTACGGATTAGTTAGTGATCGGTCAATCCGTACAACAAAACATGTAATCGCAGACTTGTCCCGTCTGATCGACAAATATATCCTGGAACGTAGAAGGAAGTTGACTTGGGTTATATTTCTCTTTGAACAAGGGAGCTAAACAAGGAATATTTGACTTGAGAGTCGTAGTTGTAACTTGTGACTACTTAATAAAAGCCGTCGGTGGAGCAAATTTGTTTGTCGGTGGCCTTTTCTGGGTTGGGCTGCTTTAGCCTTTGGCTCATGTAAATCTTTTTTTTTTTTTTTGGAGGACTTCCTCACTCTGTATTTCTCTCTCTCGTCGGCTCGTCGAGATCTAAGAATCCGCCCAAAAGAAGACCAAAAACTTTCTTAGAAATCTTTCACGGGCACGAGGCGCGGTCTCTAGACTTCCTATTATACACGCACACGTCCCCCTCTCCCTTGGTTTGGATAAAATCCCAACCAGCCAACCCACACCAAGAAGGCCAAGAGGGAATGTTCCATATGTCTTGTGTTCCATCCCTTTGTGGCTCGGTTGACACCCTACATACCGACTGACCTCATTCTCAAATGAAAAGAGGGTACTATTTTATTATGTGTATTATGTACGAGAAGGTTTTTGCTTTGGGATTAAAGCACCGTCTCTCAACTGAGCCGGCACCGTTGTTTGTGGCCGGAACGTAATCAAGAGCGGCTTTGACATTACTGGCCAAGATACATTAGAACGGGGCCCCGCCACTTTGAAGTGGTCTCATCCCGCACGAAGCGATTAGGCACTTAACACCACGATGGCTGGATGGGCAAAGGACGTGGCACTGTGAACAAAAAAAAAAAAAAAAAAAACCTCGAAATGCCTGTTCTCGCCGTTGGGTATCAATGCACCCAATGCACCCGAGCCTAAAAAAATAGCGGTTGCTGCGTCGTGGGTGCCTAAGGGCCAATCAGCCAATCAATGCCAACTTCGGTTTATTCCTTGTGACACGATGACTTGAATGGTAAATACATACCTACACCTATTCATGTACTGAGGTAAAAAAAGGACATGTACTGAGGTAAAAAAAGGACAAGTACGTAGGCTGTTTACTATTAGGTCGCCTTGCGACATCATTCGCTTCAGATGCTTTAGATGCTTCAGATTGAACACAAATCTCTCTGCTATGTCTGCGTACCTGTCAAACTGCAGGACGGGTGGCGGCATGAATCCCTTTTCTCTTCTTCGCACCAGGCACTACTACCGCACTACCGTAGTCTATTCCGTCCTGTTGTACACCCTTTTCTTCTAGAGCCTCCTAGGTTAAGATTATACGTACATTCGGTACCTAATGTACTAAGAACCTTACTCTCCCTTATATCGCATGTGATTACGGATTACTGGGAGACGGCCGGTGGTAGGTGTGCCGTAGCGCTCGTAAGACCGATGAACCGTCACGCCGAGTCCGGTTCATACGATGTACTCGCCTCCCGAATTGTGCATTCATTTGAAAGCTGAGTCACTTTAAAATAGTCAAGTCATCAGCGCGAGTCCGAGGGCAGCCCACTAGGCTTGTTCGCACCACCATGGCGCTATAGTGGGTCGTCTAGACCGACATTTCTCTTGGATCAAGATATTTTCTCGGTTCCGTGCCGGGCGCCTGAGCATCGCCTGCTATACTCAACATGGAACTTTAGCATAAGCCATCAGTGTCCACAACGGAATTCCATATGCGGCGTCAGTTCATATCGCCTAACTTAAGAGATAGGGGAAGTGCATGAGAGTGTGGGTCCCCCCTACTCCGAGGCGGCGTACTCGATACTATGTAGTAGATAAGTTGGTCCCCCGTTGGACACCGTAGACAAAGGGAGAAAAGGCACTTCGTATGGACGAATGGGTGGAGTGGGAGTTGACCGGGGAGTATGTAGCGTTCGCTTCGAGTTGAGTAGCATGCTAGGTAGGTATCGATTCACCCAAATTTCAATTTCCGCTGCCCGTGCTCGAACTTACTGCTACTAGAGGCACTACCTCTCGTAAGCTTCTTAGACGACGAAGATGATGCAGCTGCAGTCTTCTGGCCTTGTGATACCGTGGAATGGTGGCTAGCAAATGTGTGCCTGCCACGTTCTTCCTCCTGGATGTCTTTGGCAAGATGCCAATCGAGGTGGCTCTGTAGGGCCTCGGCGCCCTCGAGCCTTGCATCGCATCGTGTACACACCTTAATGTAATTCGTGATTGGATTGGGGGGACTCCCTGATCGGTTCGGCGAAGCCTCTTTCGTCTGAATCTGGGATTTACCCGTACCTACTACGTCTTCGTCAAGATTCCCATCAGCATCTCCGCCCAACGAACTCTCCCTCTTAGGAAAGAAGCGCTGGATACCGGGATTATCAACCCGTCGTTTCTTCTCCGGTCGTTCATGCACGAATGACTCTGCCGACGCCTCCCGAGAGGCTCCTTTTGATTCGCGTGCTTCGTCTCCCTTTAACAAGAAGGCACCTATACTTCTATTACCTATAACCCCATCCTCAAATCCTCCCACACTCAGGCTCAGGTTCGTGCAGGGCCAGACTCTACCTTCTTGAATAATTTGGCTTAGCAGATTCTTGGCAAGTTCGAATAAGGTCGTCTCGTCGAGCGTCCTGCCCTGGGGAATGCTACTCTGTCGGGAGCGGGTCTGGCCCCCCTGGCGGTGATGTAGGTTGATCGTCTTCGGCCGCCTCTTATTTTCGAGAACGCCCTCCTCGACCAATCGCGAGAATATGTCGGCTGCAAAGATTCGTAACCACTTGACGGCTTGTTCCTGATTGTGTATGCTAGGCCGGAAGGATTTGGCGGAGAGCATGGACTTGATCTGCGTGCGCGAGTTAACCTCGCTCGTGTCGATACCGCGGATCGTATTGTAGAGCCAGACCCCCGTGTCGTCACCCAGCTTGAGCTTCATCTGCTCCACCGGTACAAGGAGTAGATCCTCAATGGTCTCCGTATGGAAAGTCGACACGACCTGGTCGCCAAGCTTGCCCCCCAAGTTTCTAATCTTAGTAAATTTCATATCAGATAGGAAATGCCGCACGGCTCGATTCCGTATGACTGTCTGTTGGTTGGGTTTCTTGTAGCCGGAGCCCAACTTACTGAGCATCTTATTACCAGCTATGCCCGCGGAGCACGTATATCCCAGGGTTCGGCGAATCTGAGCGCGTATGTCTCGAACGATCTCCGACCCAATAAGGATAGCTACATCGTCCCAGTCTGGATCGTCCGCCTCGGCTTCTGCATCTTCGAGGTCCACGAGGGCGTCCGCCTGCCAGTCGAGAGCGGTTACGGGTGGAATAGGCAGCTTCTCCGCGGGATCGTCATACGGGGGAGGATTCGCAAGTTCCGGAAACCTCTGCAGCAGAATGGAGTGGATATGCGCAGATAGGTCGAGAAAGACTTCGTCTACACTCGCTTTTTCGACCTTCTGCATGTTAGGCGGTAGACTCTCTTTGATTAGTGCGAGGATTTTACGAGATTGAAGCCTGTAAGGGTCGAGAGAGACCTTGTGAGTGCCGATATGAGACGCTGCATCGTCATGATACGACCATTTCTCGTCTCCTTCCTTCCAGGTAGCAACATGCTGGGCCATGAGTTTTGGGCAGAG